GCATGGCGAAGCTGGGCTCCTGCTCGTCAACAAGATTGAGCGGTTGGCGTAAGTGGCAACTGGCTCAACCTAGCTGCATCGGGCGTGCGTCCTGCGAAGAGAGTGCGCAGAAGAGCAGGCTTCTGGCGCTGCGGCGTCACTCTTCTCGAGCGTTCCCGATGGTAGGGTCAAAGTACAGTGACGCGCCAATGTCAAAGGGACGCGATCAGGATCCTCTGGCCTAGTCCGGGCGCAACAATGACCAAGGTGTGCCGACTTCGCCCGGTATTCTCTGTGGCAACGTTCGCTATACCCGCCTTCTCCATTACAAGGCCTTGATGGGTGCACCGGTGTGACCAACGCAGTCTGAGCTTAGAATCGCTCGCTCGCATCGAACCGTACTGTCGAAGGCCTATTCTTTGGGTCGTTCGTCCCAGCGCTGGCGACCTTCCCGCCCGATGCTTTGGAGCAATGCGCGCGTGACTCGACTGATAGACGGAGCAGCAGGAGAGGTGCGTTGCAGATCGTCTTTCTATATGCTCTGAGGAGACATAGCACTTGTGCAGCACCCTGGCGGGGACTCTCCGCCGGGACAACGGTTCGAATCCCTCCTTGAGCGTAGCTTCGGGAACGCACGGTATGAAGACATTGGTTGTTGGCGAGGCTGGTGAGCTTCTGAGTTGGATTACGTCCCGAGACCCGCGGCGATGGAGGTCCATGCAAAGACATGCTTCCAGATGCTTTCGATCCCCGCCAGATTCCACCAACCCGTTTTCTTTGTATTCCTTTCCCCATGCGTTGCGCCAGACACCTGAGCAGGGGGGAACATCGGGGCAATCCCTTTGCCTTTTCAAACCACACGAGCCTTCTGATGCGTGAAATGATTCTCCGGTGCGATTGGGTGTTAGTGATTGGTGCTTGATAGCAGGCGTTCGCCTTGAGCTAAGTTGCATCCAGGATGCCAATCTGATCTTTTCTCTTCATCTGCTGTTCCATCGAGCTGCGTCATTATTTGCGCATGCAATCTTGCACATGAGCCGTGCGCTGCAATTGCTGATAGAAGATACTTGACTTCCCTTAATTGCTGTTTCACCACCAGCAAGATCAGGCCGGTCCCCATTTCCTAATGTAACAATGGTTGCTACCGCCACCAAGTTTATCACCTGCGCTGCCAGCATCGCCATGTGGTGTCTGTTCCTTCTAATCTGCTGTGCCTGCCCGCCCGACGGTAGCCGCGCGTTCACGGCCTCGTCATTAAGGTGAGTCGCGCGAGTTTCTTGGACTATAAATACCGAAAGGGGTTGATGATAACGTATGCACTTGGGCGCCCCTGCTTGACTGGATGCCTCTCACACGATAGAACCGATCGTAGCGCGTCCCTATGTCCACGTGACGTCCATTGTCCACGGGCGCACAGGCGCGTGTGGCTACGCGTGTGGCGCCTCTTTTGTATGGTCAAATTCCTTTATACCAAGGTACCCTACGGTGTACCTCCTTTGTAACCGAGCTACTCTTTGGTAAGGACTGACTATTGTCGAGGAATCTATAGCACAACCCTAGCGAGGCTGGAGAAGAGCATAGAGAAGATGAGGAGGATGATGACCCCTATGATGTTCTCACATGTATAAATACCCCATGCCGAGACAAGTTAGTCGAATAATCACCTATGCAAAGATCTTCTGTCGTGGTGACCTACGACCAACTGAACACGTGACCGAACCGCGCTTATTCTATATCGCTTGCTAGCCCCGCTCACTAGGAGTAACACCCCCTCCATAGTCGTATCCCACAGATCAGTTGTGAGAGGTCGCTTTCGAAAGGATAGCACGCGTAGGTGCGATATAAATGTCCGTGCCCCATGCTAGCCTTGGCTTTATCAGCCGCCTTCGTGCGAGGACGATGCACGCAACAGCCGTGCTCGTTCGCTGTCTCCCCGACGTGTGTAACCAGACCACGCGAAGTGCCAGTTCCCCGCTGTGTCAACGCAACCTGATCGCTGCGCATGGTTGGCGCTCGGTCGTACTACAGCTCTAGATTTGACGTGATCTCGGGGCGTCGCGACTTACAACCCTTCTGAGAGGAGATCAGCGAAGAGTTTTGTTCTTGAGAGTCGCGGTTGATGATGATTGAACGTGCATTGTCTTCTGGCTTAGCTTCTTTGTGACTGCATGACAGCGTTCTTGAACATTGATACACATTGCACTATCCTCTCCCTCGTCATGGCGAAAGCGGCGCAATCTGCATGAAAGCAGCGAGTCGAGCGCAGCAACACTATAACGAGATGGGCGCCAGCCCAACTCGGGCGGGATTGCTGAGCTTGAGTTGGTCTTGCCTGCA